CCAGGCAGGAAAGATCGTGAGACTCCTATCTCCAATAAACCACCAGAAAACCTGAAGCGGTGCTGTAGCTCAAGTGGTAGAGCACTTAGCCTTGAGCTGAAGAGCTGAGGGACAGCGCCCAGGCTGAGTTCAAGCCCCACAATTGACCAAAAAAAAAAAGAATCTTTCAGCTTCTAGTCTCTTATTATTTTTTACTTTGGGTCCAGTTGTGGGCCTGAACTCTGAGCCTTGGCACTGTCCCTCAGCTCTTCAGCTCAAGGCTAGCGCTCTACCACTTGAGCCACTTCCGGCTCTTTTTTTTTTCTTACTTATGAGTGCTGAGGAATTGAACCCAGGGCCTCAAGCATACAAGGCAAGCACTTTACCACTGAGCCCCCTTCCCAGCCCCCTTCTACTCTCTTATTTCCAGCATAGCACAAGTACAGAGTTTATAAGCATGGCCTTGAATTTAAGATTTTTTGGGGGGAAAGGAGGAGGGGAGACTGGTTGTGAGGCCTGAACTCTGGGCCTGGGCACTGTCCCTCAGCTCTTCAGCTCAAGGGGAGCCACCACTTGAGCCACAGCACCACTTCTGGTTTTCTGGCAGTTTATTGGAGGTTAAGTTTCACAGACTTTCCTGCCCTGAGCTGGCTTTCAACTGCAATCCTCGGATCTCCTGAGTAGCTAGGATTACAGGAATGAGCCACCAGAGCCCCACTGCTGATTATTTGACAGGATCTCACTTCCTGCCTGAACACTCTAAATCTACCTACCATTAGACTTCCTATCATAGCTAATAAACCCACACATCAGCATCCAGAGAAGAGGGGGTAAGGTCCTCACAAGCTTTTCTGATTGAACTGACCTCAAGCCATAATCCTCCCAAATTTCAAGCATTAGTCATAACCCACCAGCACTAGACATTTGGAATAAAGGACAGTTGCCTTTGATAGCCTCCTCTAGGTTAAGAATTAACCTTCCAGTTTCTTACCATATGTAAATACTCTCCTCTTACATGGTATCTTTGAACTTCCCAACCACAGCATGCTTCTGGTGACTTTAGTCTCAAGTCATCCCTCTTGGTTTTGTTTGGTGGTTTGAGTCACTAAGTAGCAAAGCCCAAGGTGTTGTGTACTGGTCCTGGGGCTTGAATTCAGGACCTAGATGCCGTCCCTGAGTTTTGCCCAAGGACAGAACTCTACCATTTGAACCACTCCTCCATTTTTGGCTTTTGGGGGAGTGGTTAACTGGAGTTGTGTCTCTTTTCTTCCCAGGCTGGCATAATCTACTAAAATCTCTATAGAGGACCTAGTTCTAAATCAAGGTGCTGTCAAGGCACTCTTCTTGGAGATTGTAGGGGGGGAAAGTTGCTTTTGCCTTTCCAGATTACAGAAGCTTTAATCCTTATTGTCCATCTTCAAAGCCAACAATGTTGCTCTTTTGACTTAGATAAGGAAGGTTTTCTACTTTTAAAGAACTTGTGCTGGGCTGGGAATGTGGCTTAGTATTAATAGTGCTTGCCTCACATGCATGAAGCCCTGGGTTCAATTCCTCAGTACCACATACACAGAAAAAGCTGGAAGTGGTGCTATGGCTCATGTACAGTGCTAGCCTTGAGCATAGAGAGGTTCAGGGACAGTGCCCAGGCCCTGAGTTCAAGCCCCAGGACAGGCAAAAAACAAAACAAAAAAACTTGTGCTTTCAGAACAGGCTCATCTGTACTAGAATGGTCTTCCCATCTCAAATCTTTAACCACATCTATTAAGTCCCCTTCACTATTTAAGGTAACGTTTACAGGTTCCAGGGAATTTAAGATGGTGGACATTAGGGGAAAGAGTATTCAAGTGAACAGTGAAGCATTTCAGAGAATAATCAACTGTGTCACATTGAGATCAGAAAATTCTGAGAAGCCAGGCACCATGGTTCACAACCCTAATCTCAGCTACGCAGAAGGCTCTAAGCAGGTAGGAAGATCACATTCTAAGGCCAGCCCTGGGCAAAGATATTGAAATTCTAACTGAAAAATAACTACAAGCAATATACAAATGGGGGTGTGTGGCTCAAGTAGTAGGTAGCATCTACCTAACAAGTCCAATGCCCTGTGTTCAAAATCTGTTGGGGGAGGGGGGGAAGGGCAGAGTACAGTTTGATTACAGGATTAAGCATCTCACAAGTTCTGGTGATCCTATGGATTAAAAACCTACATTAGAATGAATTCAAAAGAGGAAAGCAGACTGAAGATGGAGTTTTGCTAGGTAGATGTGGGGTCAATGAAGCTGCATTTTTATTCGTCATTCCTGGGGCTTGAACTAAGGGCCTAGGCACTGTCCCTGAATTTTTTTCCCTCAAGGCTAGTGCTCTAACACCATATAAACCACAGCTCCACTTCCTCAAATTAGGTTTTTAATATATAAGATATAGTAACAAGGGCTAGGAAGGTGGCTCAGGGGTAGAGCGCTTGCCTTGCATGCATGAGGCCCTGGGTTCAATTCCTCAGCACCACATAAGCAAAAAGAAAAAAGCCAGAAGTGGCACTGTGGCTCAAGTGGTAGAGCGCTAGCCTTGAGCTGAAGAGCTGAGGGACAGCACCCAGGCCCAGAGTTCAGGCCCTACGACCGGACCCCCCCCCAAAAAAATATATACATAGTAACAGCATGTTTGTAATATTTATATGCTAATGGAAATACCTGAAAGGAAAACCTAATAAATAGGTAGGTAAGGGATGGAAATCTAGTACACAAAAAAAAGAATACCTGGGCTGGAAAGGTGGCTCAGTGGTAGAGCGCTTGCCTTGCATGCCTGAGGCCCTGGGTTCAATTCCTCAGCACCACATAAGCAAAATGAAAAAAGCCGGAAGT